TACTAGTTAATATAAATGTTCCTAGCAGTAGTAGAAGTAGCAGACTCGGTTTTCGTGTGTCTGTCTTGACGTTGATTGAGGGTGGGTAGTGTGGTAGTGAGAGCGCTAAAGTTTACTGTCATTTAAGACTAAGTCATGCGTTTATTTTAGTCTGCACTGGAGAAAGCGGCCAACGCCCTGTTTGAAGGTGGGGAGTGTGGGTGACGTCTGCAATACCTATTATCACTAAAATTGAAACCTTGTCAGCAGTCACCTTTCCTGCTTCAACCTGTCTAGAGCATATAGTGGGCTTAATCTAAATCAATGGTCTAACAATCATCATCAACATTGACTTCAAACACCAACGAAATATATGATTCTACACATATCTGACCAATTTTTTTTACATTGCTTCGGAGTCTTAGGATTTTTATGTGAAAAATAATGATTTCAAAGGCGTAAGCCTATTTGATTCGAATACACTGCCTACCTGACTCTTGCTGATCGTTGCCGAACATTAAAAGAAAAAGATGTGTTACCTTGAGTCTGCATTAGTCACATAACTTGCTTCAACTAATTATTCTTACTGTATAAGAATTAATCTGTCCTCTTTCTCAAACAATCCTGAATTTTGTTCTTGTTTGCTGTTCCAGCATTTATCTGTCCTGCAGTGCAAATGCAGTTGGTCTTTGGCTCTTGGGTATATAACAAGCCTTCTAAATTTGAACCGAGGAAAACTGATTCTGCGGATCACGGCTTACGTGTCTAGTATGCAAGAGGACAATTGTCTTTTAACAAACGATGGCCAGCGACGGGCTGAAGAAAACGCTTGCAGCTATTCCTCTCCTTAAGACTCGAGCTGGTCCTCGAGATGGCGAAGAATGGGTAGAGCGCCTTAAGGAAGAGTACACATCTTTGATAAAATATGTAGAGCACAATAAACAGAACGACTGCCACTGGTTCCAATTGGAATCAAACAGCAGTGGCACTAAGTGGTTCGGGAAATGCTGGTAATGTCTTAGACATTCCATATTCTTCTAGGTACATTCATGAAATGAAAAAATACGAATTTGATGTTTGCTTTGACATCCCCGTTTCATATCCTGCTACAAGTCCTGAAATAATGATACCCGAGCTTGATGGAAAAACAGCGAAGATGTACCGTGGAGGCAAAATTTGCCTAACGGACCACTTTAAGCCACTCTGGACACGAAATGTTCCAAAGTTTGGCATTGCACATGCGATGGCCCTCGGACTTGGCCCTTGGCTCGCTGTCGAAATTCCCGATCTGATAAGTAAGGGGATCATCAAGCATAGAGAAGATGAGTAATTTTGCTACTTGTAATTATCTCTGTATAGTCATCCTATGTATTTTTCTGATTTCACCTTATGACTGATCCTACTTCAATAATCACTTCTACCTACTGTTTCTTCCTAACCATTGTGATTTGCGTACTCGGCCTAAATACTTTGCGCAAGCTTCAATACTTTGGAAATTTTCATTTCTACCAGCTGTCCGAAGGATTTTATCGCATACATACCCATACCT